GGGGGGCTGGGGGGGGTGGGGGGGTTGATCTGCACCTTCTTATCTGACACATGCACTATTAAAACTGATATTGAGTCATTCATTATTTGTGGCCTCCCACAGAATTGCAGTCTGTCCACCTGACAGCCTTCTTGTGTTTAAATGCATTTGCATAGCGTTGCAATGCCCCCTAGAGGAGAAAGAAGCGCAGTCTCATTTTCACTGTCATTTGTGACCATTTGTATAGATTTGTTCAATCTGTCATGTGTGGTGTTGCAATGTGATGCTGCTTAATCTTAAAATGTAGATTCTGATTGATATCACCCAGTTTTAGGGAACAGTTCTATGTCGTGAAAATGACCCAGAGCTCAACATGCCTATCTATACAATGCAGTCTAGCTTTTATTAGCAAATGTTCAAAAAGCCTAGAGTCTGAAAATAAAAAGCAAGCCTCCATATTAGAGACATGTGGTTCTTAATCTTTTTAAGACAAGTACCACCTAAAAAAAATCCAAGTGTCACCATTATGACTCAGATTAAAATACAATTGCATAGTGGACCAAAGTGTTCATGAAAAATGAGGGCAGTGTTTTATTCCTAACACTATACTTAATTGTATTGTCAGCCACTGAAATATTATGCACAATATAAACATTGACAAGGCCATGAGATACAGAGACATTATCACACGGTATTTAATATATGCTGTAATGTATTGTGCCTAAATGTAAAAAAAAAGTACTAAAATGTTTGAATGTGTAAAACAGATCTTAAAGATGAAATGCAGATGTGTTGTACTTTAATCTTAAATGCAACTTAACTGTACAGTACTGAACAAACTGTACTGTGTTTGAAAAAAAAAGGTTTATTCCACCGCAACATTACGCATACAGTTGTTTACAGTTAATTCAGTGGTGAGAATAACTGATTTTAAGTCAAAACATGCTTTTTGTTTTCACTCAAGGAATCAGCACTTAATCAGCTGCCAAATTCCACATGTCAGTTAGCGTGGCTATTCTATGAATGTAATCCTGGTAATGCTGTTAACTAACTTTAAACACTGGTGTGATAATGCTTTTGTGTAGTCCGGCGGCTTGACTTCGTCCACGACTTGAAAGTGGCGGATCTTCCTCCCACCCGCCTATTGGTCGCATCCAACACAAAGACCCTCGATGTTAGAGCTGTACTGTGTAAATTAGTTAAATTCAGACAGTTTACAAAATAGACAGTTGACAAAAGATTTACTTGGTCGTGTCATTTCACACTTGAGGATGGGCAAGCACAGCAGAGACTTACTGCAAATGTTTGGAGCAATAACTTAAAAAGTGAATTATACCCTTAAAAGATTTCCTGGAAATTGTGACGATTAGTATTAAGACAGCCGTTCACCGAGTGACACAACAGAACTCACTTCTTTCACGTTACGTAGTGTACACAGTTCTGCAGTTTTCATTAGTCGCCAACTGTTTGCAACTAATTTGGTTGCAAAAACTTACGACATAGCCTTTCCATTCCTTCCACCTGAGACATGGGAAAGTCTTAGCGCAGGAAGGGCCGTTGCAGTCGAAGTACAGTGTCCATAAAGTCTCTTTACCATTTCAAAAATGTATTAAAAATGCAATTGATTAGATATTTTATTCAGATTTGCTCTTTTGTATTCAGTGTTTATTAAAGTTTTTTATCACACTGCATTTGTGTGTTTCGGGGACCCTGTTTGTGAAAGAGGTGATGTTGAATGAACCCCTACAAAAGTTCTGCAAATGTTTACCTTGACCTTTTAACTGAATATGTGGCACCACAACCGAATGACCTTCAAATTTTTCAGCAAGATGGTGCACCACCACGTTGTGCGCATGTTCGTGGGTTCCTCAATCAAACATTTCCAGATCGGTGTATTGGGAGGGATGGGCCAATTTCTTGGCCGCCACATTCACCAGATATCACTCCCCTGGACTTGTTTCTATGGGGCTATGTTCAAGATATCGTGTGTCGAACAAAGATAAGGGACATTACTGACCTAAAGCAAAGGATTACTGATGCCATTGCCACAATTGAGGAGGCTATGCTATAGCGAACATGGCAAGAAATCGAGTACCGTCTTGATGTGCTTCGTGCAACTAATGGTGCCCATGTAGAAATGTATTAAAGAGGTAAAAAAAAAAGTTCATAAACGCTGAATACAATAGAACAAATCTGAATAAAATATCTAATAAATTGCATTTTTAATACATTTTTGAAATGATAAAGAGACTTTATGGACACCCTGTATGATGCCTTACTGGAAGCACAAAACCGTAAACCTCCCAAGAAGTTGACTGTGCTCGATTCCCTAGAACCAGGTGTGGAATTGGGCCTTGGTGGTCGTGAAATTGCCGCTGTCCTTTAAGGAGCTGTGATAATGATTCCCCAGGCATCAAATCCCTTGCTGTTGGATTCCTTGGGCGCGAAAGATATTTCTTGTTAACTTCCCCTTCACGACACTTAGACTTCTTGACTTTTCAGATTTGAACTATAGGCACGACCACGTCGACATATTTTCCAACGCCCCGAGAATCCACTGTTTACCCTGGATTGTACGTAAACATCAATATAATGACCATATTTTCCCCACTAAATAGTGAAAAGGCTTTCATTACAACGAATTGTGGGTAGAAAGCTGCCGCCGCGACCTTGCTTATGAACAAAGTGTACAGTGCGGGTTCCCCTCTGTTACCTAGCAATGCTACTTATTGACCCGGTGCGTACATCATTGTACTTCCGGGGGCACGCATCTGGTAAACGGAAGCAAATATCGCTGTCTGTGAAGGCTAATTGTCTCTCACTTGCAAAATGGATCTGAGGGAGAGAGAGAGAGAGAGAGAGAGAGAGAGAGAGAGAGAGAGAGAGAGAGAGAGAGAGAGAGAGAGACGGTTCCAAGCCCCACAAGCAGAGGATGCAACTTTCTGCCTTTAAGTGATAAATCTAAGACCTCCGGAAGAGTCTTGGAATAGAAATAATTAGCCAAACGTACTCCGCGCCTGCTTTTAAATGATGCACTTCAAGGGTGAGAGTGCTTGCTTGAGTCAGAGCGCAGAGGAAGTGGATTTTCGTTCAAGTGTGTACACCGTATCCTGTATAACCTTCTCTCCCGCCTCCTTTCGCTTGTGTGTCATTGTTAAGTGTGGGCACTGTGCAGCATATAACGTATCAGGGGACAGTGGGATGCGTGTGACCATGCTTTGATAGCATGTCAGAGTGAATTAGCCTCTGTGTGGCATCTGGCTGGCACACACCACAGCCTGCCCTCTGCCCACCACACTGCATATGTGCCCAAGATTAGAATTAATAACCAGCACTGCCAATCATGCTTAAATCACAATAAGTCTGCATTTAGGGGGCGCTGGGAGGTCACAGGCATCTGGGCCACTCGATAGCCAATCTGGAGCAACTAATAAGGTAAGTATACCAAAGTGTGTGTGTGTGTGTGTGTGTGTGTGTGTGTGTGTGTGTGTGTGTGTGTGTGTGTGTGTGTGTGTGTGTGTGTGTGTGTGTGTGTGTGTGTGCGCGCGCGCACGCATAGTTTGCTCATTTCAGTGCTAGTGGTGGCAGCTGCTCTGGTGGGCCGCCGAGACTTGACAGAGTTTATACTCTAAAAGAAAAACTGCAGGACAGCACACCAACTGCCGAGCCAGATATTCACAATGGATTAGTGGGTGTATCTGTACACACAGAAGTCAGTGTAACTTGAACGAATTTACATCCACAATTTCATACCGATGCTCTGACAACAGATGGACAGGAACAATAACATGTACCACATATGTGAGTAATTTCTATTCACTATATAGAACTATGTACTTATATAACGATTTTATTTTAGTGACATGATGACACTGTGCTCCATACTAGCCATATCCAAACTTCGGTCCAGGGGCCATTTGCGGACCATCATCCATTTTTCAGTGGCCCGAGACACATACTAAAAATGAGATTTGGCACAGCCCACAAGGTGGGTTAAATAAAAAGGTTACAAATGAGAATGCCGAAAAATAAGTGACACGACTATGAATAAAGTGGATCACAAACCGTACAGCTTTTTCGTAAAGATAAAAATAAACGACTAGCGACTAAAATGAAAACACAAATTTCCTTCAAAATACTGGTGAAGAAAGATAATTCAATTTTAGAACCAAACACTGTTTCTATTGAAGACATAATGCAGCTGGTTATGGTCATTGTGCAACACCCATGCACTCATTCAAACACAAATCTGAGAGTGCTTTTAGATTATGATTATTAATTTTACTCAGAGTGTTTAGTTAGGATGTGTGGTTATTGACAAAATGAAAGGGTTATGAGTTTCTCTATCTTTTGAAAAAGGAAAAATAAAGCTTGTCACAACTCGCTTATAACCAAAACAAACATACTTTAATTTAAAAAAAAAAGAATAAAAATTTGGATTTTGCTCATGTAATAATAATAATGATGACAGTGTTGGCTTTGAGCGCTGGAAAATTAAGGGTGACACACAGTGAGTGATGCAAAAATGTCCCCCATGATTACCAAGATACTTGTGCATTCGCTGTCTCCTTTCTCCCTCCAGAAACACTAAGCTGTAGCCATATTGCAGTGACCGCGTTCAACCGCTTCTTTAATATGCAGACACATCCCGTAATTGCAATCAAAACAACAAAACAACATATGTCAGCCCCCCGGAGACTGGCAGCAGCGTGTCCTGCAGGCTCCACAAATGAAGAGTGATGCTTGACAAATGAACACTAGATTGGCTACGTAAATACGATCTCTGTAAATTCCCCCAATCATAATTTTGTATTCACAGCATCCATTAGACCTGAGAATAGGGGGTAGTAGTACAAAAGAGGGTTGCGGGCAGATGGGAAGAACAAAGGAAAAACAGAAAGACAGAAGTAAGATCATCATTGAATCCTTACCACACTGGGGACTGGATTAGTAGTCCGATGCTACACTCTTCTCCCAAAGCTGGACCGCTATATCAATCAGCTGCAGAACAGTCTGTAGTGCAATGTTGTGGTCCCGTGTTCGTGGATGCAACTACAAGATGTTCCCAAGGCCAAGTGAGCGCATCGACTAATTTGTAATCCAGCAACAACTGGCACATCCCAGCCATATGAGGTTGGGTACCATTGTCATGTATCAGAAGGAACCGAGTGTCCCCTGCACTGCAGCTGCAATGGGTCAGATGATCTGAAATATTGTCAGAAATGTATCGTGTGATAATGCGAGTCATGAGTGCCGTTGACACAACACACATCATTACAGCAGTTACTGAGGAGATATGGTCATTTATCAGTGAGGAACATGGAATGGAGTAGACTAGTGAAAGCGAAGATTCAGAATCGAACATGAAGGAATCAGGTGACAGGGAGTTATGATATATTGGCACAAATCCAACAATAATATTTTAAAAAGTTACTGGCACTTTTTTTTTTTAAATCAAATTTTTCCAAAAACATGAGTCACTGGTTTCGATCTGCCAGTCATGGACAGAGTTGTGCTCAAAAAATTACAAGCCTTGGCAGAATTTGTAAGACTGGCAATTTTGGGGATAGTATGACTGATCATCCGGGAATTTTTTTGTTTCGTGATCACGGTCTGATGAATCCACTTGTTGACACACATACAGTCCCCATCCAAACGTATTACAAGGTCAAATCCTTTGTTTTTGGTGTACACTTAAGACGTTTGGGTTTCAGATCACATGAATATCAGACTGAAGTTGAGAATTCCAGCTTTTATGATGGTCACAGCAGAATGAATTCTGAAGTCTACAAAACCATTTTGTCTCGCAATTTACAGAAAAGGGGTGGCCCGGTGGTTGACTGGTTAGTGTGTCAGCTCACGGTGCAGAGATGCATGGTTCGTTTGCTGCTCCGGCCTTCCTTTGTGGAGTTTGCATGTTCTCCCTGTGCCTGCGTGGGTTTTCTTTGGGTACTCCGGTTTCCTTCCACATTCAGAAAACATGCGTCTATCCATCCATTATCTGTACAGCTTTATCCTCACAAGCAGGAGGCTTTGAAGGACCCAGCCTGCTAAGGGTCCTTCGCAAGACGCAGCATAAGAATTTGGACACTGCATTTGTTTTTTCTTGTGTCTGCTGTATAGTCAGTGTGGGTGATTCTACTTTGGTGGGAACAAGGGATGATTGGTGGATGGACATTGGCTCCCCTGATTGGTGGCACCAGAGGCTCAACCCACCCCTGAAGCAGACCTGTAATGACAGCAGGAGTGAACCTCCCTCTCTCTCTCTCTCTCTCTCTCTCTCTCTCTCTCTCTCTCTCTCTCTCTCACCTTCCAACCAGTCACAACTCTGAGGAATGTTTGAAAGCCATCTGGTCTCCGAAGTATGGCCCAACTGCCATTTTTATTACTGCGCTTCCTCTTATTTTTGTTAGTCAGGTAAGAACTTTGACGAGTTCAGACACAACTGCCATGAAGATTGCTGAGGATGTATTCTGAAGTGGCCATCACAATCTCTCTCTCTCAATTTCATCAACCCAATCAGGGGAGATATCAAACGTGCAGTTCATGTACGACAACCCATAATTCACGGCCATTTGGCTATTTACCAAGAAGACTGGGGCAGCTTTACCACCTGAGAAAATAAAGGGCCTCATCAACAATCACAAAAGACTGAACGCCAACATTAGTGCTAAAAGGGGCAATCCATGAGAAAGGCATGCTCAATAATAGTGAGAATAAGAGGTACACAAGATGGATGGATGGATGCCAGATGCATTGTGGCCCCACACAGCATTTCTGCCCCTCTTGTGAGATCCAGTAGCTGTTTCCACACTACAGCTAGGCAATAATGGCTTTGCATACGTAAGCATTCGGGGAAAAAAAAATCACTATTGAAGGTAGCATAAATAACATTTATATTGTTATATGTCATATTGCAAATGTCCCCAGTGTGGGACAAATAAAGGTTATCTTATCTTATCTTATCTTTTTACTTTTTAAGGAGAACACCGCAGTGCGCCACAGCTGCACGGACTGAAATGGAATACACAGGTCAAGAAGGCTGCTTCAAAATAATATGCAAATGTCTCGAGCAAAAGTGGCCACACCACACAAGCTAAAAACTCGTTTGCTAATGCAAGCAGTCGGACTGTGTTTAAACACGAAAGAATGCTGGGTTGTTTTCCTAACCCTCTCGCTAGGTAACTGTGAATTTTGAGCAGAAGGCGTTACTTTTACCCAAGGTTGGAGTAATTACTTTACCCCAGCAGATTGGGTTGAAGATTGGATTTGGGTGGGCTGAAGACTTCAAGCTGTTCGCCATTTTGGACAGGTTTAATTTAATCTTTACATAATATTGACCGCTGTCTTTATTTGTTCATTTGTTTTCATTTTGTATTTTAGTGTTGATATTTATCCAACATAATAAAACTCAAGAATTGTCTCAAGCCAGCGGAGGATACAGCATACGCACGTGCACGAACGATCACAATAGTAACATCTTTAATTCAAATTGACATTGAGCCAGGAAAACCCATGATTTGTAAAACAGACCGTGAGTACTGTAATATCAGGAGATCTTACTTTAGAGGGTTTAAAGAAAACTCATCTAAATGTAAACAGAAAGCATCTAAGCAGACACCTGTCTCACGTTGCAAATAAACATGCTGAGAAAAGTCACCAATTATACAAAACGATCAAACAATGGATGGGAAATAATGTACCACCTTGTAATACTCGGTAGATGCCACTAGATGGAGGCAAAGTCACTTCAAAATGTTGGCACTCCAAGGCACCGAGGAACAAATCGGGTGATGCAGTAGTTTTCAGCTGAAGAAAACAACATTGAGTCATTTTTGCAACTCTGAAAAGTCCATTTCATTTGTGCAGAAAAAAAAATTGAATTGTCCAAATATTTGACAAAAGGGAGATTATCTATTTCTGTTAAGTCTCATGCACTGATGCAACTCAATAGTCGACACTTTAAGATAAGATCACCTTTATTTGTCCCACACTGGGGAAATTTGCAGTCTACAGCAGCAAAATGGTGGAGGGGGGGGGGGCAATTTATTTCACTTCTGAACCGAATAATTTATTTTTAAAAAACGTGCGGATGTTAAATGTAGATGCATTCATCCACAGTCAGCAAGAGCATATCAATATAAATAATATCTGTACTGTGGATTTTGTAAACGAGGAGTAACTACGGAGATACAAACACAATTCCTAATTACTTCCTGTGGAACTGGTTGAGAAGTATAATTCTCAAACTGTCTCGGTGGCTCTGCTGGAGATTTTTGCAGGGTTCAGTTGATCTTCTAATGAATGAGGAGTGTGCTTTCAGACCTGCTCGGTGTGCCCAAGTGCCCTAGGACAGGGGTCCCCAACCGCCGGTCCGCTGGGAGGGGTCCGCGCCCTG